AAATTGACTTATGTTATTTATCTTATTTTAAAAAACAGCTTGTCATTTTTGTCTCTACATGGCCGCGCGTTTACAATTCTCCTCTGCTCTCTGTATCGCGCACACACAGGTGAGCACACTCCCACCAGCGGAGAGAGAGCGCGCGTCGGAAAATATGTTGCGTGCACCACCTGAAAAGCAGCCAAAAACATCTGTATTTTTGAAACCTTTTTGAAAAAACGTTTTTGTTTAGTTCAGTTGTTATATGGACTGCTGTCATTAAAAAAAAACACATGAACACCATGAATCCTGTCGATGTCCGTCTGCCCCCCCCCCAAAAAGCTGTAAACCTTGGGGAAATACGGATTTCTGTACCTTAAATTAGACTAAAAGGTACCTTTACCTACAGCTAGGGTACAACTGGCAGACCCTTGAAGGCACAGCCCCAGTGACAAACAAAGGTACAATTTGGTACTTTTTTTTCTGACAGCGTATGTTTTGGCATTTAAATCACCTGTAACGTTGGTGAAATTCGTAAAGTATCACAAAACCAAAATGGTACATCAAACACAATAAGAGAAGCACACCTATCCTAGACTTCTTTGTGCCCCTGTCCTCTTGGGCAGCTGCATCGTCATCTTCCACACTTTTGGGAAACAGCAAATGCACATCATTGCATTATAGTTCACAAGCCAAGGAAAGTCTGTAATTAATGATCAACTTCACTTTAAATACAATACTTCAGACACCCCCTACGTCTTCACATAATGGTGTGAAATAAATGTGAGAGCGGACACTGCTAGTTACGACACAGTCCATTTGGAAATGGTAACAATCATCCATCCATTTTCTGTACTCGCTTGTACTACTGAGGGTCACAGGGGGTCCAGAGCCTATCCAGGAAGCTACGGGTGCAAGGCAGGGAACGACCCACTCACACAGCATTCAGTCGCACATCTACACCAGTGGGCAATTTGGTATCTGTTTCTGGAATGTTTTGGGTCTCGAACCCTGGTCCCAGAGGTGTGAGAAGACAGTGCTAACAACTGCGTCGCCACACAATAATGAAATCGAGCCCAGATGAGTTTAGACGAGTTACCGGCCATGCCTTGTCACCGGTTAGTACTGCTTAACTAGTTGGTTAACGTTACTTACGTAATTCGCCTGAGAAATGGATGTCAATACTGAATACTTATAACCGGTTAGTGCTGCTGAAGTAGCCGGTTAAGCAGCATTCGTCCCGCCAGTAACTCCTCTGAGAAATTAATATTAACACGGAGAACTTATCATCGGGTAGTACTGCTTATCTAGCTGGTTAGACAGCGCACGTCCCGCCCACCTCGGCAGCCGGCTCCGGGGCGCCCACTTTGAAATAAGCCCGTTTTTAAAGGCACGGCAGCGCAAGAAGGCCGGCGGACAGTCGGCGGCTTAGTCACCAGCTCATCGGTCTTTTCCTCTTGATTTGTGCGTCTTGCCGAGCTTCTGGTACCGGATGGTCAATGGAAGCAGTGCCGTTGCGGAGATTGGCGAAGCCTGTTCCGATCCATTCGTAGAGTTTATTAAACATATTCTGAAATCATATAACAGCGTATACGGAAAAAATTCTGTATATATAAGTTGAAACCCCCGTGAAACGGCGCCAATCAAGCTGTCAAAGCTTGCCGAAAGTCCGCTTCCACTCACTCTGAACTCGCATAGCTTAGCTTAGCCTAGCCTAGCCTAGCCCAGTCCAATATGTTTCCCTTGATGTAGCTAGCTTATTGGCTAGCTAAGTAGCTCGTCACGTTGAGGTATATAAAATATATCCCAGATAATTAATCGGTCCTTTGCTGAACACAGCTCCGACTTCTTCTTTTACGTCTGCATTTAATTATCTAATTTCAGCAGGGTATATGTCTATGATCATACTCAAAAAACCATTTGAACAGAAAATACAGCAAAAACCGACAACCTCTCCCGCTTCTTCCTCATTCAAACGCACAACATGGCTGAAACACATTCGCCAAAAAGGCCGATTTCCATTGGCTGGGCTAACGCGGTGTCGCGTGGTTACGCCAATATTCGGCAGGCTGATTGGTCAAACCTCAGGCAGCGTTTATTGCAGGCAAACGCGTTGCAGTGCCTTGCGAGGTTGTGAAAATCGCTGAAGTTTGGAGGAATATTAGGAAGATCCCTAATACAGAAGTACTGGCGTACTGTGCTGGCGTATACTGCAATATTGCCTCAATACAAAGTTGAGGAGTTTTAAGAAGTAACTTTTGATATATGGGCCATTCCCCATTTGGAGTGGGGATTCAGTTGGAAACATCTTTAAGAATTACTTTCTTTTTAATCCCAAAAGTAAACCAACTTGTCCCCATGATCGTACATGAAAATTAAGAGTTTAGATATATATTTAATATATTTTAAAGTAAAATGCAAACTTTGCCATAACCGAAGTATAGCACGTACCAGTGACACAGCATGTAACACAACTGACAGAATAAGCTATTTTATTTTATAAAATGGGCAAATTAACAGAAAACATATTAATAAAGACATGATTTCCATATTAATTAGCTTTTTAATCGTTCTGATCATTCATAACATTAACATTTGTCACAGGTGTTACGGATACAATGTAACACCGGTGACAGTGACATTCTGACTAAAACGGAAGCTTTTTTTTAAATGACTGCCCAATGGGGGGGTATAAGGTAAGCTAACAAAATTTTGTAAATGTATTGTATAAAATGAGCAAATTTGGACTTGCCTTCTCGTTGCTTTAGAAGCTTTTCTCTATTTATTTATCTCATAACTATACATTACTGACTGTACTTTTGAATTGTAAACACTTTATACATTGTATCAATTTCACCGTATCATGAAGGTATATTGCTGCTGTATACATGTGCAAACTTACATGCACATGCGTTCTTGCACATTCTACTTTTTTTTTGTAACTGTGTATTTTGTGTAAATGTCTCTGAAGTTATATTTACACATATTATACATTTATTTTCGTTATTCTGGGAACCGCATACTGAATCATGTTGAACTTAGACAATGACAATAAAAGCTATCGATCTACCTATTAAGATAGATACTTTTATTGATTCCAAATGTAATTTCCCACTTGTGATTAATTAAACATTAAGAACTAAATGATGATGATTAGTAGGATACCTTGTGAAGACAGCATGGTTTTGACATCTTGCTTCTAGAAAACACTGGACCTTCGGATTTTACCATACAAAAACGTTCTCGGTGAAACTTTAAGATGTTTTCTTCTTGATACTAAACTTCCTACCAAGGAAGAGGCAGAGAAGGCTCAGTTCTGATGTTCATCTTGCATTCACTGTGAGCACAGGAGGCTGCCGTTGGAAGCAGAGATTTCACACTTGTTACATATTAATCATGCATACTTCATTCATTTGTACGTGTCTGCAGTCATAAACTTCCTGTTGCAAAACGTTCAAACAAAGCCAAAAATGATCGTTCAGGAACTGAGATGTAGAAATTGATGCAGAATTATTAAGTATTCCAGAATTACAGTACATTGGCATTCCTGTATTATGGTTGGTTACAGTTAATATTCCCAATGAAATTTACTGGCAATTTAGCTGCTGTGGTAATAAATGGAACATAATCCAGAATAACCAGAACCAGTTTGGTTTCTGGATAAAAGAGCATGGAAAGGGTTAGCGATCAGCAGAGCTTTTTAAACATGCCGTTACACTTACGCTTTCATTCTCCTGCACTGATCAAAGTATACATTATTCTGTTGGTTAGAACAAAATATTAAAAGTACCAGTATTTGTTAAATACCAAATTTCAAAAACTCACTCAGTCCTCATATAATCCAACAAAGAACTTTCGCTAAATTTCCAAAACTTTAATTTCACTTAACTTAATTACGAACCTATCCCCGCATGTGTCCCATGAACTGGGCGAATATATATATATATATATATAAGATGAAGAATGAAAGCTGCATTTGTAAAGCACTTTTCAAGACACCCAAAGTGTTTCACAGGACCAGTAGGAAACTCCTTCAACCCCCACTGTGTAGCCCCCACCTGAATGATGCAACAGCAGCCATTCTGAATCAGTACACTCACCACACAGTAGCTAAGGTGGTGAAGGGGCAGGAGAGAATTCACCAATTAGATATCGGGGATGATTAGGAGGCCAGATCTGACAGGGCCACAGTGGGCAATTTTAGCCAGGGCATTGGGGTGCCACCCCTACTCATTCAGAAGAAACCCAGAGATCTTTCATGACCTTAGAGAGTCAGGACCTCGGTTTTACATCTTATGCAAAGGGCAGCACCATTTTTACATCACAGTGTCCCTGTCAATGCACTGGGATCCACACAGACCACAGGATGGGCTAACCTGTTGACCACATCAACACCTCCGTCAGCAGCAACCCAACTTGTTGGTCTTCCATCCAAGTATTGGCAAGGCCCAAACCGGCTTAGCTTCAGGTGGATAATCTAGCCTGACCTACAGGTGGTGTGGCTGCGGTGGCGATGGCACTAAGCTGAGCAAATATGGTGTGCTATGGATTCCTTAGAGAAGTATTCATGGTGCACCAAACAGCTTCAGCAGAAGAAGGGAGGTGCGTAATTAACACTCCTCATTAGTCAAAAACTACAGCTTGTCAGTCTGACCCTCCACTCATAAGCAAAGAGGAATGTTTGGTCGATTCCATGGCTATTAATTAATTACTTTCCTTTTTACAAAAAAGTCAGAATTCGAAACTGAATAATCCTATGTAATTATTTCTATTAGATATTCATCAAATAGAATAGAATAGAATAGAATAGAATAGGTAATTGCAATGAATAGGTACAACCAAGGGCAATAACATTAAACAGCTATCCCTGGGAAACTGTTTACATGCAGAACCACAGATCAGAACAGGCACAGTTTGAATAATTAAACTAACTGCGTTTTAAATAATTATACTTAATATGGAAGCCAATATCTAGCCCTTTATAGGATCCTGATATTCCCATAAAAGACTTGACCACTTCAGTGACATAATGAGATGATACTTTATTTGCCAAATACATAGGAATTCTTTGGTTGTCGCATATCCCACCTTACTCTCCTATAAGACGCAAACATAGAAGCTTGGGGCCTGTGTGGAAGGTCAGCCATCTATCTGGAGCCATTTTTGAGGTTAAGGGCCTTGTTTAAGGCCCCACCGGTGATGGGATTACTCTGCCGGTCCGGGCACCCCGACACACGAGAAGCAGGTGACGGACATTCGGGATTCCAGGCAGGGGAATTAGTCGTGCTGTGACCCAAAGAGCTGGAGGATGAAAGTGAAAATGTAGACGATGTCCAGGTAGATGTTGAGTGCTGCGAAGACGTACTCCTCAGGACTGATGGAGTAATGTTTGCTACCCATCAGCAGCTGGGTGTCAAATGCCAGGAACTAAAGGAGAGTAACGGAGAGAGTAAGCGATGTGTATGGATCTGGACACCTAGATGTCTGACGCAAAGCCAGCATCCTTACCACGGAGAACGCCAAGGCTCCCAGAGCAGCATAAACAGCGTGTAACCAGGGTACCTAGCACAGGAAGGCCCACAGGTATTTACAGCAGGTCAGGGCTACCGTTAAGTATTGTTAAATTACAGTTAGACAGAATAAATTTAGGAGCTTCATTGAGAATTCTTACATATCCAAAAGGCAGCACAATAAGGAAAATGAGTCCGGAGAAGAACACCACCATGCAGAGGACGAAGAGCACACCCTGGCAAGATGTCACGTCGATCTGGAGGAAGAGAGAGGAAGACTGCAAGTGCTGCAGCCAGCGAGGTGAACAGGAGACTCTCCGCATGTCCGGCAAGGTCCCACACATCCCACGATGAGTCCTACGTCTCATGACACGTATCCCATAATACGTTCTGTAATGTCTCGCAACATCTCATCACATTTCCATTGTTACATTGTTTAATTTATCATGTACAGTGCAGATTTCTGGTAGAAGAAAGCTACATTCGTACAGTGATATACACGTTCCACCAGAGCATGTGAATTAAATCAAGATCTTTCTCACCTTGGTTTGGAAACTAAAGATGGTTACAGACAGACAAACTAATGCCGTGATACCAAGACAGATCATCACAGACTTGGTGTTATAAAAACTAAAAGGGAGAAACAGGAAAAATGTTACATGTGATGCAACACGGCGTGTTGCAGGATACATCACATACAAGGATGGATCAAATAACGGAAGCACCCAACAATATATTAATGTCAAAGAGCCGGTAAAGAGGAGTTGCCTGTACCTTTAGAACTGCTTTAGTTTCATTTGTAAATTAGTGGTTGTTAAAGTCAGTTTTCATGTGATGTTTCTGCAATTTGTCCACAATATATGGACACACTATTGGGAAACACTGCCCAAGCATTGAATTCAGGTGTTTCATTCAGACCCATTGCCACAGGTGTATAAAATCAAGCGCCTAGCCAAGCAGTCAGGTTATTAAACATTTATGAAACAATGGGTCTTTCTGAAGAGCTCAGTGAATTCAAGCGTGTTATTGCCATAGGATGCATCCTTTGCAATAAGTCTAAGGAAATGATTTCCCTGCTAGATATTAAACGGTCAGCTGTAAGTGGTATTATTGCAAAATGGAAGCGTTTAGAAACAACAGAAATGGCCACAAAGTGGCAGATCACGAAAAATAAGTGCTGTGGTGCGCAGTGTAAAAATCGCCAACGCTCTGTTGACTCATAACTGCAGAGTTCCAAACTTTCTCTGGCATTAACTGCAACACAAAAACTGTGCGCTGGGAGCTTCATGGAATGGGCTTCCATGGCCGAGCAGCTGCATGCAAGCCTCACATCACCAAGCACAATGTCAAGGGTCGGATGGAGTGGTGTAAAGCCACTGGTCTCTTGGAGCAGTGGAAATGTGTTCTGTTAAGCGAGGAATCACACTTCTCTGTCTGGCAGTCAGATGCACGAGTCTGGGTTTGGCAGATGCCAGGACAATGTTACTTGCCTGACTGCATTGTGCCAAGTGAAAAGTTTGGTGGAGGAGGGATAATGGTATGGGGTTGTTATTCAGAGGTTGGGCTTAGACGCCTTAGTTCCAGTGAAGGGAATTCTAATGCTTCAGCATACCAAGACAATTAGGACAATTCTATGCTTCTAACCTTGCCCATAGATTTAGAATAGGATGTCATAATAGTTCCAGTAGGTGTAATGGCCAGGTGTCCCAATATTTTTGTCAATATACTGCATGATAGCAAAATAACTGCCTTCTGATGCAACACAATTACACAAATGGAAATTAGACACATTGACCTGACACAGTCTTCAGCTCTACAATCAAAATCTAAAGTCTATACTAGCTTTGAAATACCTTTAAAAGGATACAAGATTCTCTGAGGCCATCTAATGGTTATTCTGAGAACAGCATTAGAGTTTTACTTTGATACAAAGGCCATTATTTAGGCCATGTTGAGAATTTGTGGCATGACAGCGTGTGAGCAGAGCAGACGGACAGAAAGAGCTGAAAGAGGCCACACAGCAGAGGGACTGTACCTGGACAGCATACCCGTCATATAAGAGAGGCAGAGCGTCTGGAACAGAACATATGCAGTTAGCTTGGAAAAAAATTAACTACAAAAAAAGAAAATAAACTTCAGACATGAGAACCAGACCTAGGCTGTGCATAAGGAAAATAATTTCTATATTATATGAATAACTGTTTATGTAAGAACAGGCAAAAGTCTGGATACTCCTGAGTTGGCTGTTTTTCAAAATAGTAATTTTAGCTAAAAGCACATGTTGAAATGCTGTTTTTCCACATGACAATGACAAGGAGAGTGATGAACCCTAATGAGGAATCTTAACGGTTCTGCTGAAAGATCACCAAGAGGATACAAAGTGGTGCCTATTCTGGAGAATCTGAAATTTAAGATTGTTTTGATTTGTTCAGCACTTTTTTTTAGTCACTTAATAATTCCACATGAATTGTTTTGATATCTTCACTGTTAAGGTAGAAAATAGTGAAAATGAAGAAAACCCTTTATATGAGTGGGTCCGAACTTCTGACTAGTATTGTGTTGCTAAAACATTCATGTGTTTGTATAGTAAGTGGATTGGTATTCATAGGGCTGCATAACTGCATAAAACATGGTACAATGTGACACTGGGTGACATACCAATCATCTGCCGAATGACAAAATATGAATGAATGAAATGGCAAGAGGCCCTTGAGTGCTTGAGGGAATCTGATCTCCACCTCATCCTCAAATTACCCACAAGTCCAGGTATGGAATATTATCCAGACTAAAGAAAGTTAGGATCAGGTGCTAAACCCGTAACGCTCATAAAGGATAAGCCAGCGTGCAGATGAGTACTGACAAAGATGACAAGGAGGAGGAGGTTCCAGGGAAATCTCCGTCTGCAGTGGGGGAATGGATGACATGCAGTGAGGCCCAAGGCCACAGACAATAAAACAACATGATCACTACTTTTGTCTTCATGCTCACCTTGGTTCAGCACAGCAGGAAAGCGTCAGGTATGTAATGAAAAATAACACACTGTTGACCAATAAAACAACCACAAAATGAAACTGATTAGTAGTCTGTGTAGGCAGTAATGAGCAGGTTACACAGAGAATGTATGTGAAATCCACTTACTACGATGCCCAGTACCACCCAGGATTGGCATGGATATAGATCTTTACTGGTTCACTGTAAGAGACAGTTCAGGAGTTACTGGTAATCAAGGGCAGGGGGTTTTCCTGGAGAAACCTGTTATTTGAAGATTTCTGCTTAATTTGATTCAGATTAGAGATCATTGAGTTACTGGACCAGTTGACATCAAATTGCAGTCATTAGCAACACACTTTGATGCACTTATATTAAAGCCTATTGAAGCTGTCTTTGAGTTAATGTCCTATGTCATTTCCTTATTGCAAAGGTGCATGACATGTAGGTGCAGATCTGTGCTGAGGAGATACCAGCACTCACCAGAAGGTGAAAAGGACCACGATGGCCAGAGTGACCAACAGCTGGATCATTATGATGGTGTAGACCTGTAACGGTGTGTGAGACGTATGCATCATAGGAGAAATCATACATTCAATGGCATTAGCATTAGCATTAAGATGTATGTAGCATTAAGATGTACCAGAATTTCCCAGATCTTAATTTCCCAGAGGGAAATTCTGGTGCCCACACCAGCAGGAACACAAATGATGACATATAATACTAAACAGGCAAGGTGCAAATACAGTACACACAGGCCACATAAACAACATAGACAAATATAGACAAAGAGGTCTGGCAAACGCAGATTTACATACCCTAAAATGCAAGCTAACAGATGCTAATGTTAGTTTTGCTGATCAGTGAATAAATATGGTACATGTGTGAATTTGATAGATGCCAGCACTGCCACTGCCAGTCCATTTGAACTGTGGTACCCTGAACTAAGCAAAGAACTGGGGCCTATAACAAAAAGCCAGATTTCTTGTTTAGCTGGATAACTTTAAGATACCCTTGGAGTACCCAGTGGTTAGCTGCACCCACCACTGCTAAAAACTCAGGGTTATGGATGGAAGACGTGACATATGAAGAGGACCTTGCGGATGAAGACTCGCCGGATGTTTCTATCATCCCAGCCAAAGCCTGTCAGCATTTCAGCATCACGGGGGCCTGGAATGGCGCAGGAAGAACAGGGTCAGCTAAACGACCTTTCACCTTCATCACATGCCTCACATATGTACCAGAGGCTAAGCCTCTATGCCTGTGATTGGAAGATCTCTGGTTCATCCCTGGCCTTGGCACGTCTGTGGGCCTTTGAGCAAGGCCCCTAACCCCCAAGTCTCTGGCTGCCACCACAGGTGGGCACCCTTCACTGCCAGGGTTGCTCCCACGTACAGAGAGCAAGATGGGAGGTGAAAAGAGAATTTCACCCACGGGGATCAATTAAGTGTAAAGTGTACCTGTATCACCGGGACACCTAGCCGACCTTTAACCTTTATCACATGGCTCACACATGTACCTGTATCCTGGTGAATGTGCACTGTTGTTACCTGCAGTGGCCTCCTCATAGCTTGGGGGTGACATCCGCATCGTCTTCCCACCTTGCTGTCCTGTTTATAAGAACCGTCTAGAACAAAAACAACAATCGATCATTTGTCAATCAACCACATATTATTTAATAAACTATGCTTTGCAGAACGTTTACCTTTTTGTTTGGTTGACTTTGTCACAGTCTTGATGTCACACACGTTTCTTGGACTCGGTTTGTGTACTTATAAAGTCACAGTTGTCTCAATGCACTGCGTCTCTCAGTCAGAGGTGCTGCACGCGGCTCTGTGAAGCCCTGCAACCAAATCCGTCCTCAGCTTCCTCGCTTCTCACCAACTTCAGCGTCTTCTTCAGCTTGGCTGCTTCACAAACACGACCGCCCCGGCCGAGCTGGACTCAAAGCCCGTTTTGTCTTCTCAGAAAGCTGCTCTTTGTTTTCCAAAAGCTGCCTGTTTGCCGTACCAGAGGGTTCAGTTTGAAACATGAAAAGATGGTACAGTCGATGCCTATTTAATTGCATATATAGTATGTACAGTAAATTGCTATATTTATCCGAGCACTGTTCTCAAAAACTCAGACATACAAAAGTAACCAAGTAACAATTTATCATGAATCCAATTAGAGGACAATAAACATCCATTGGTAATTAAAATGCACTGTCATACCTATAATTTTGCACATAAAACTCTGACAAAATTATCTAGTGACTCAGCCAGTCATGACAACATCACTCAATCATCAAAGAGTAACAAAATGTGGAAAATAAAAACATTTAAAAACCATACACTGCAGAATTTGGGGAAAATGGATGTTGTAATTACAGAAACTCAGAAACAGAAGTTCTCCTGTGTAACAAAAGATACTTTACCTTGCCCTGGGTCATGATTCTGGCTCAGATACCTGACATTCTTCTTTAGGTTGTGTATTTTCCTTCAGTTTTCTTGAGATACTTGATCGGAGTCCTTTCTGCTGACAGAATAACAACAGAGGGACAGAAAATCTCGAACCTGCTGCTTGGAAAAGAGGCAACTGTCAACCAGTGAGATTAAAACGGTCTTTATACTGCACGGGCAGGCTAATCCTAATACATAACAACACCCCCCCCCTGGGGTAAAAGGACATTCTGGCAACATCTAAGTGAGGGAGGCGGGGACCATACCAACTGTCTCTCTACAGGGGGTCTGATGCTGTATTTATCCAGAGAATCTAATTCCATTGTGCTTAAATACGGGATATGTGATGTATATATAAACACATATCAGTCCTTCTTGAGAACAGGGACAAGATGTTATTGGGGTTTTTTTTTATTTTACTCTTCAGTCACGCTGGTAAAATACATTTTAAAAGATCAATGTCTTGGCTATTAAACTTTGTGATGGGCCAACGTCCCAGTGATTTCATTTTATCTTAAGCAGTATTTTTTTGGCAGCTGAAGGCTTCAATTTTATCAACACAAAAATCCATATTATAAAAATAAAACAGATTTATAACACAAATAACACACAGTAAGTGTACAATTTTTATTAAAATAAACATTGCTACATATTTTACTTTCGCAGCATAGTCTTAGTGATCGAGTAGCCAGTTTATTTTTTAAAGTTGCTAAGAGTTCTCTTCATGCTAATCAAAATATGAATTTTTAAACCATCATTTTTATTTTGATTTAGAATGGAGTTAATCTGTTATGGTTGAGACACATCTGATTCAATATAATTTCATGAGTTTCTCAAAAAAAATAGAGAGCTTACCAGTGCTTGAGCAGTATTCCCTCCATTTTTGAAACCAGGAAGTGAGACAAGGTTCCTGAGTGGATTCTTTTCATTCCTGATTAAATTATGTTTTTGTATAGAAAACTGATGGAGTTAACAAAAAGCTGAACTTTAAAGGGGCAACATTTTCATAAAAATTTGCATTTTAAATATATATAAGTGATTATAATAGTAAAATTGTACACCTGTATTATCTGTTTTAGATTTCGTGGGCATTTTGTATATTTTTTTTAATTCCTTGAAGTTGTGAAATCTTGTCTGGGATAAGGATGTTTTCGGGCTCAGGGCAAGTTTAGGAGTTAAGGAAAATGAAAGCAGACCAATAATCATGAAAATCTTATTGATTTCATAGATAAAAATATTTAAAATATAAAGTTCCAGCAAAATATTTTGTAGTCAATTATGCGGTATGTTAAGATGATTTGGCCCAATACTGAAGAATATGTGGTAAACATAAGTGTCAGGTAGCGTATTTGATTAAATAGAAAAAACTTCCAAATATTACTATATTATTTTCCCATAAAAGATTTTAATTAACATATCTTACACAACTTTTTAAACCAGTAACTGGATATTTACATACCAAAGTGATTTGGGTTAAGAATCATGCAGGAAGCTAGTATGCTGTAGGATTGAAATAAATTTTTTCATCAAATTCAAATTTGATAATTTGTGCTGCTTCCACCCTCGTACAAATGACCAGGAGAGGAGAAAGTAAACTAGCAGATGCTCAGTGTGTTAGAGGAATAGTAATGGTGTGAGACCTTAGGGGCGTGTTTCCCAGCCTGGTGCTCGGGAATCCACAGCCGATCCACGTTTCCCCTCCCTCTCTGTGTATGAGATCAGACTGGGACACACTGCCATAGGGTAGGATCTGCTGTAAATCAGATTAATGGGTTTTCCACTCAATTAAGAAGAAAATGATAATAAATAATAATAAGTACTATTTGAAAAATGGTTCCAGGTTAAAGGCTAAAATGTTCATCAGTTGTCAAGCCCTACTTTTGGTCATTAAGTTATCCCACACCAGCAGCATAAAAACAACCATCCTGCATGAATTTAGAGAAAAACACTCAATGTCAGGCACATTTTATTTTCACTGCTATAAAACAGTTTCCATTGAAACGTGTTTTAAAATGCTAAACACAGCTGCTGTCTATGGACTCTGATCCAGTCCCCAACTAGAGATCAGCATCCTTTGTGTTTTGACTGTAAGGGCTTCACAGAGAGGGCAGCTTTCGGATGGCGCGTGTCACTGGTGCAGCCTGGGTGCCGCGGGGCCTCTCTACAGCTCGCTTGAGACGCCAAATGAGTCATCGTCAGCCTTCTTTTCCAACGCTGGCGACTTCACAGCTGCTGCAACCTCCAGTGGGGGAAGGAACAGCGTGGTCCAGCTCAGAGGAGGAAACCAGAAGGGATCCGAGTGCTGGGGTTCCTCTCCGATGGGGAATCCAGGATCTGAAGGTGTCTGCTACTGGTAATGATCCCCCACCGTCCAGTTACAAATGTCATGTGAAGAGAGTCTCAAAGTTGCTTAAATGATTTAGCCATATTGACAATGCAGTGCACACTCTGTGTTCCAAAAAGCATCCCGGGGGGGGCGGGGTGGGTTTAGATTATCAGGAATCATATATCTCCTTCTCCCTGAACTGACTCCAAACGAAGGTCACTGTCATGCCGACTTAGGGTGAAGAGGCTGATCACGGCCAGCAGGGCGGCGAGCATCATGGCCGCACAGCCTCCAAACATGTGCCTGGTGCCGGCGCCTCCCTCACCTCCACCCGTCCCGGAAACCTCCCCGTGGAGCGCCAGCAGACCCAGACATGCCAGCAGGTGCAGCGGCAGGCGGAACCAGGTCAGCACGGCGGTCCTACGCTCCTCGGGGATGATGCGGCCCTGCAGGAAGCTCACCGCCGGGAAGTACAGGCCGCAGGCCAGCTCCAGCAGCAGGAAGGCCAGGAAGGACTCGCCGGGCCGCGGCTGCCCAGGCACTGTGGAGAACGTCAGCATGAAGAAGGAAAAGAAAGCCAGCAGCACCGACAGGCACAGCAGCTGGCCCGGCTGCAGCCGGTAGCGGGCCGAGGAGGCCAAGCGGTACAACGACGATCCCGCCATGCTAGCTGCCATCAGGCAGGAGAAGATGATGCCCAGTGGGGGGCTGTGGGGGTCCAGGACTGGGGTCCACAGAAACACAAAGATGTAGAGGACACTCTCGAAGAGGGCCTGCACTGCCCCGAGCAGCAGCACGCGCCGGTCAGACAACAGGCAGCGCAGACCCTCCATGCAGCTGCGTGTGAACCGAGCCTGGGTCGGGCCTCTCGCGGGTGCGGCACTCGGTGCCGCCAGCAGGGGACTGGGCTTCTCAACCTGCGGCCCTTTCTCCCGTTCCTCCTGGCCCCAGTGCGAGATGAGCACCCAGCCACAGGCAGTGAGGCATGGAACGGCCAGCAGGAAGGGGGCCACAGGACCCAGGCCAAGCCACTCCGCCAGCAGGTTAGCCACCAGCCCCGCAGCCACCGCCAGCCCGTGGTTCCAGCTGGCGGCCCGGGTGAAGGTGCTGGGGATCCACTCTGCGGGGAAGTCATGCACCTCCAGGTGACGGTGCACATACCAAGCCTCGAAGGCAGTGGCGAGCAGAGAAGTGGAAAGGCCACCCAGGATTCGGCCGAACAGCAAGACGAAGTAGCTGCGGGAGAGCTTGGTGAGGCAGCAGGCAGAGTAGGCGATGCAGAAGAGCAGGCAGGTCCGCCGGCGACCCAGCGCCTGTGGCAGCCAGGCGGCAGCAGGGGCCAGCAGCACGCAGGAGGCCAGGCCGCACACATACAGGATGGCAATCTGCGACTCCAGGAAGCTGTAGTGCCGGTACAGCTTGTAGAGGTAGGGGCCCTGCAGCCAGTCGGCCCACAGCGCCAGCAGGTAGCCCCTCAGGAAGAGTGTCTGGAAGCCACGGAAGGAGGGGTTGGTAGAGGCCGTTGGCACGGGCTGCACGGGCACGGCGCGCCTGGCGGTGAGCTCCAGCCCTAGGCAGAGGGCCAGGAGCAGCAGGAATGCGACGTAGCTGGTCACCAGCATGGTGCCGCGCTGACTGGGTGCGGCCCTTCAGAGTGGGCCTCCTCAGCACAGAGCCAGCGCCCCCACCTGGAGGTGTGAGTCAGAGTGAGAGAAAAGCATGGATGCTGTCTTAAAGCTGGGGATCCCTTTGGCACAGTGTCATAACCTGCAGAGCCATACTACGCCCTACACCATCCCCAAAAACGTGAATCTACAATTAAATGTAGGAGAAATGTGAAAGGATCCTTACTACCTTGGTTTTAAAGCCTTCTTTAATAACCCCAACACTGCGAAGGACGGGTGATTCACAGTTCGTTTTAATATCTGTCATTGAAACTGTAGCTCACGGACAGACACGCTTGGCAAAGACGTTTAAAATGCGGTCACTTCCTACACAGTGTCACTACACGGTATCACTGTCGGGCTTTTTCATCAGGGGGGCGTTTCGGTGCATGTTGGAGCCACTGCGGAAGCGGGTGTCCGAAGCGATCTGCTTCAGCTCCGCGGCCGTTTACACCGCGCAGACCGTGAAACCGGCCGCCCTCGGAGGGTTGCGGCCAATTCATACTTCACTCACCTGCCTCGCTGCAGTGCCGCCGCTCCCTCGGTACTGATCTCCTGCCTTCAGCTGCATTTAATAGAAACCAAAATGTACTTCACGAGACTTTTAAGCTATGTATAACCTAACAAAACCACTTCTTGATAAAGGCAAAAAGTTATTTTCTCTGACATCAGTGGCAATCGCCTAAACTACAACATAAACTCTTATTTCCGGCTACACGATCGTGGCATGTCATTTCCGCCAACACTCATTTCCGGCCTCAGACTTACTTCCGGCTACACGCTCACTTCCGGTCACTGACAGGTGTTTATGGACCTATGGTTAAGGAGAATTCAGTTCCCTCATGGTCCACCTGTCACGCGCGGATTTGAAATTATGACGTCACCACCTATTTTGTAGTTTCGATGTCGTTTGATGCTTTTTTAAATGCCTTTGACGTGGTCTGGTAGACAAACAATTTATCCAAGAACTTCGCCTGTCTTTTCGATATTTGTATTTTGTTTATTTTTTAAAGATAAAATATTTAAATCCTTGATAATGGGTGTTTGCTGGTAAAATAAAGAAAACGGTAGTATTGTTGTAGGCCATCACGTATAATACGATGCAATATTGTTTATTCTATTTTAACTTAATTGTAGACAAGTTACTCCTTACATTTCTCAACTACTGCTGCCAGCGATGTCTTTGTACCCATTGAAACATAATTCAGTTATATTAAAACATCGTGATGCATGATTTCCTATGCTAATACACAGATACAGAAACTGCAGGACACGAAATTGGGGATACAAATCTCTTTACATGCAAACAGGTATCCGAATGAATTTTTCAGTCATTAATCATACGTTTGTGCATAGATTCGAAGAGGGAACATTACTACGTTAAGGCTAGAATATATGGTTCCCCCTGCTAAAACCCAAACTGGTCCTACACACTCCGCCTTCGTTTGCGCGTTCCCGAGACCCGTCGCCATGTTGAAGTGTGTCTCAAAGCAGCAAGGGCTAAGGGGGAGTGGTCGATTATGCCCACCTGAAGCGAGTCAGCAACGATGGTGGCTTGCACGATTCCATTTCCATTACCACTTCCATATCCCACAATTCCTAGCGCTCAGGAAACAGAACAGCGCGAAAAATGACATAATTGGATTCTGACAGCACTGTGAAATACACATAGGAAGTCTATGTTACATGTTATAATTCATCGCTGCAGAAAAAACGTTCGTACGCAAACTCGATCAACATCACACCAGCAATAACAATTTATGTTTCATATTTGCCAGTTTTTTTGCTCTACAGATCTGATATGGTATTTGGTACAGAAGTAATGCGTAATGTTTTATGCGTGTAAACTAAGTTAGCTATGGTAGAAATTGTACAATCGTCAATATCACACGTGTACATACTTCAAATTGCTCAGTCAGTGCAATAAGACGTACGATGTAGCCGTCGTCTTCTCGCATTAGATAAACTTTGTGCTTTTTAAAATAACTGATATGTCATTAAAGAAAATACAATACAGCTTCTTGATGGATCCATTTTGTCAAATAACTACGTAATGCATATCTTTAAAAACACAGAAACATGGTAAAGACATGCGATGTTTTCGCAAATATCGCTTGTTTACCTCAACACTTTCGTAGAGAGATATTAAAACGAAATAGAAACCGTCTAAATATATAGCGGGTGACGTCATGATTTAAAATCAGCGCGCGACAGGGGGAACATGGGGAAACTGAATTTTCCGTAACACCTGTCTGTGACCTGCTTCCGGATTTCTTCAGCGTTTACTGATGTTATTCTGGGTAATCGCTCGTATCTGTAGTTAAGAGGTTTAGAATTTCTGCAGTCTAAATCACAGCTGGTTTAAACTGAAACCAGGTGCCGAGTCCGTTTATAAATCACATAAACATAGACGCCGCTAGAGGACACTTTTCTGCTGTTTATCTTAAACTTGCTATGTAGGTGACTATCTTGTAGTTTAAGAGACACTTTTTACTTGAAATTCGTCCTCTGATTACATATTATACACGATATTAACCCCAACACGTTTGGCTTATGTAAGCAATTTGTATCAAAATTCGTATATGGTATTAATAACATTTGAGAGAACTGAAAGGGCGATTAAGAAATTTAGAAATAAGTCAGTTTTGCCTTGATATGTTGAACTTGATAGAGGTTAGCAAAATTCGTGCTTCTTATGGAAGAGAAACTTGGTTTAACGCAGGACTGCCAACTCACACATCTGACTTGACACACACATTTTCAGACTCGTATGCTCATGTTACTACAAATCTATATTATTCCATTATAAACCAAAAATTTGCTACATCAAAAGTGTTGGGGTAGTTTATGAACCCTACAGATTATTTACAAGATAAAAAAAGTGTTACATACATGTAAATGTGTATCCATGTGTGTGCAGACTTGTCACAAATTAAAAATATCACGCTGGTCAGCTAACCAAAGTTGACAACCCTGTTAAATCTATTATTATTATTATTATTATTATTATTATTGCTCTCATGGGAAACTGCTATACATATTAGTTCATATCTGCTACATTATTATTATTGTTGTTATTATTGATGTTGCCGTCGTTGTCTCTTTTTTGTAGTAGTATTAGTAATGATCAAACTTTTTTATTGTAATAACCTCATTTTCATCTGAGGTATTCATCAACCGCTAAGCGAGGCTGAGTGAAAGATTCTGGAACGGATACGTTGCTGAGTAACACCCATATGCACTTTTGTGCGGTTTGTGCTCGGAAAGGGGGCACGGCTCACACAAATAAACAACCCTGTAGTTAACCAAGACAGATATGCTTATAGTTCTGTTACAGTTGATTTTATTCAATTATAAGTAAACCAAAATTGTAGATTATTTACTATAGCTGTATCCTCGTTGTGGAAGAGTCGTTTTGAACAGTCTTTGTGATCTCTGCTTGGGTCATGTTGTAACGGGATTCCACAACTTATAATGAGGGTGTCGAGCAGCCTTGTGTTCATGGCAAAGCGTCAGGATTTTACTGTCTTAAAAAACTGTCGATGTTGTCAATATTCATGCTTAGGTACCACCCACATGCAGGGGGGAGGGGGGCAATGTGCATGAAGAAACCTGGGAAGGTGCAGGAATAAAAACAGACAAGCAGAGAGATCATTTCAGCTTCATATTGTACCCATGTAAGGAGATCCCTTATAGTATATACAGGAGGATGCCATTAAGAAGAAACAGTCTGATGACAGGAGGGTCACGCAAGCCAACAAGTTTGGTGTCTTCAAGTTCCAGCAAATATCTGCTGTTTGACAAGCCGTGGGGTTCAAATAAAGGATCCTCCTGGTTTTGGGCTTCAGTCCAAGAAATATATTCATTCCCACGTTTTTGGTTCCTTCTGAATGTCACGGAACCGGAAGTCCTGTGTTCTTCCACTGCCGCACAGGCACCCCATTAGTGGTTCTGTTGGCAAGTTGGGCCGACACTTCCAGGTTCACCGATTAAGTCTGATCATTTAGTACCACATTATTTACAACAGCAAAATCAAGCGGAAGCATACAAATCTCGACATGCATGAGATTAACAACTGGAAGACTGGAAATGGTGGGGAGACCTCAGGGGAGAGACCCTCAAGCTGTACGTACGCTTGTAATAGAGAGCGAGAGAGATTTGAGATCTTCAGGCCAGGTCAGTCATTCAATAAAATGCAGCGTGATTTCAGTGTAATCATAGGTTGCCATTTTACTCTTTTTTCTTGTAAAAAGTTTGTGCAGTGTGGTGCAGTGGTTACCACTGCTGTCTCATACCTGTGGGACCGGGGTTCTGTGTGTGGATTTTGTATGTTTTCCCTGTGTTGTCATGGGGTTTCCTCTGGGTACTCTGGTCCCCCCCCCACAGTCCAAAAACATGCTGAGGCTATTTGGAGCTCTGTGTGTGTGTGTGTGTGTGTGTGTGTGTCTCCCCCTCATCCTGGCTTGTTCTCTGCCTGGAGACTCTGGGATTGACTCCAGACCCCCTGTGACCCTGCATAGGACAGGTGGTTTTAGAAAGAGGATGTTTTGTGTGCATGAATCAAGACAGCCGTGCACATTGAATAACACAGCATTAATGAGTGTTATTCACCAATATGTGAAAAACATACACGTCTGCACTATGATTCATCATGGCCCTTTCATCCATAATGTGTGAGCTCTCCTGACTAAAGATACATGCTAAGCTGTCTGCCCAGTTACTGGATGAACTGGGAGTAATGGGAAACTGGAAAAGGAGATAATCTGTTACTGGTTTTCAAAAAAACTCCCTTTTCCAAAGCAGGTGATGCTAATGTGAACACATACAGTGGATCAAAAGGCTTGTGGAACACCGGCCAGCGGCCCCATTGGGGTTCAGTGAGTTCCAGAATTTTCCTGATGCATGCCCTGAACATACTGAACTGTCTCCTTTTCAGGTCGGAGGTGCTGCCGCTGCTCTCTGTGGGGGATGGAAATGATGTTCAGGCGTCGATGCGGAAGGCCAGCAGTTTGTCTGAGTGCAGGTCATTCAGGGTCCGCAGGTCGGGCAGAAGCAGCAGAAGCTTCTGGAACAGGGTGCTGTCCTCGGGATGCTGCTGGGTGATGAGGGACCTCAGGGCCCGCACCAGATCCTCTTGCAGCTGCTCTACAGCCTTGGCATTCATCATACTGGAGCGGTCTGAGGAAGAATGTCACAGTGACCCTCAAGATCTGTAGATATGCTCCTAAGTACCATGTGTGACATCAGGAGTATCTTCTAATGACCTGTGTTTTGGGTCTAGTGTCTTTCTTCTGTTATTCATTTTGGTTCACATGTAGGCATCGCTGTGCTATGGGAGCGTGTATGCTGAGTATGTATCGTTAGAAAAAGTGTAAATTCGCTCTGTTCGCCTGCTGAATGGAAGCTGAAGCTCTCACCCGCAGAGACCAGCACCACGGCCATGAAGAGTGCCATCTCATCGGCCTTCAGGCCTAGAGCAGCCAGCTTCTCACTGAACTCGAATACGGCGTCCAGCAGGGGGCCCATGCCCAGGGCGCGCAGGGTGGGCAGTGGGTACGTCTGTCCGTTTAGAAATGTCACCATCCGGCCCTTGGGGTCGAAGAGCATGCAGAACCGCACCATCAGAACCTGAGAATCAGAGACAGATTTTGTATGTGTTGAAACAGAAGCCAAGCTTCTCATGTAATACGTTCACATGGACAGATATATGATATATGATATGATATGATTTACATGAAAGGACAATCAATTGTCTTTTTAAAAGGATCTGAATTGCTAAAGCATATTCAGTCATCATTCATTCACAACGCAAAACTACTTATCACTGTTAACCACAGTGCAATACTACTTATTACTATACAACCCGCTCTGCAATACTACTTATTACTATACAACCCGCTCTGCAATACTACTTATTACTATACAATCCGCTCTGCAATACCACTTATTACTATACA